CATGATTTGCATCAAATCCCAGATAAAGGTGTTTTCACATTAAACTGTCATTTTTTGTTGTGTGCCTGAGAAGCGATTGCTCTTATTTTGTCATTCATTTACATATCATCTTCACCTAACATTTCAGTTCTCTCTCAAGGCCTGTGTATTAGCTTTCTCCAATGGCTTTCTGGCTTCCTCTGTTTTTCTTTTTTGCCTGTTTGCCAACAACTTAGCCACTAATTTTGCTTAACTCTGGTGCAAAATTTTACTTATCTCAAAGACTTTCCTAGTTAGGAACACACCGTCTGTTTCTGAGGCACTGGTACTAGTCATGCTGATAGAGAGGATATTGAATAGTTGGACCTTTGTTTTTCCTGATATGGTCATTTTTATTTTCTTATGTTCAGTCTGTATCTGTTTCTGGTTTGGGACATTAAAAATGCAGTCTGATTATTAGACTACATGGCTATTGGAAACCAGATGTTTGTGGAATTTATCCAGCATGGCAGATTCAGCTCTTTAAAGAAACATCTCTTGTTCCCTCACTGAAGAATTTGTCTGTTACAAGTTTTATCTGGCTTTCTGCAGAAGTCTGAGTAGCTCATATCAAAGCTGGTTTTCATTATCCCAGTTAAACAGTTTAATATTGTGTTAAACTATCTGTCTTTAATCTTGTTTAAGAATACTTGACTTTCCCCTAAGAACAATATTCTAACCATGATCTTAGCTTAATTATAAAAGATTTTAAAGCAAAGAGGTGTATAACTAACTCAGCTGGTTTCTATGCTTACCTAACATACTTCTATGGAACCTCAAATTCAATGCTAATCTAGAGAGGGTCTTGGAGTAACTCCATATTTGCACAGGTGCAAATCAAAGCCACAGTTCAACAGTGCAGTCTGTGCCCTTCTGTTACATACCACTTTTTGCAGAGTAAAACAAGGTTTAAATTAAAATTGAAAACATTCTCTAAATATTTATGAGAAAAAAATATCCTTGCATAGTAGTTTGTCACAATTGTGCTTAGAGAATTTTTTTCCTTTTTTCAGGCATACAAAACTGACTCATCTATATACTAAATTACCTAAATGGATCTAAAGATTTCCCAAACTAAACACAAAGATATTAAGATTATTAAATGTGGTGGGACTGAATGAGGGTAGCATATAGAGAAAATTAAAAGTTTGTTAACTATATTAAAACATTAACTAAAGGCCCAAGTTTTAAAATGAAGAAAATTGTCTGATGCACTGCATAACAGGCTGGTGTAAAAAACTGTATTCAAATAACTCATTTGCATTTGAGGGTTGCTTCTATTCTAACTGAATTTGGTAGAGCTCTCTAAACAACAATGCTGGTGTAGAATCCTGATGAAAGCTGACATTTGTTAAAATCCACAAAAGATTATTTTAGAAAGTAACAATGGCCACTATTCATACAAAAAAAAAAAAAAAAAAAAAAGGAATTTTAATTAACAAAATGTGCATCTATTTTATTTTGTTTCTGAAACAAAAAGAGTGGGGTAGGGGAGGAAGAAATAAGCAATGAATTTTTGGCTTGACTTTTAGGATTCTGAGAACCCAGAGTTCCTGACAGATCCCTCCAGAAGTAGGAGAGCTTCTCAGGTCCTCTGCAGAACAGCTTATGTACTATTCAGCTGAAATTTATGGAGAAAGACTGAGCAGTCTTATATTTTTAATAAAAAGTTATATTGAGTATTAGAGGGTTATTTTAACATACCATTTATATATAACAATATTTTAAGTTAAATACATGTTTTCTGTGAGATATGGCAAACAGATGGGCTGTCATCCTGATTGCTTTTTTCAGTCTGTCAACTCCTACACTTTCTGCAGTATAAAACCATTGAAATATGATCTAGACACAAGTGTGTGTCAATATACACAAGATAGCATTTGTTATATATATGTCTGTGTGTATTTTTATATATGAATATGAATAAGCATGTGCACATAGACACATATATACATACATACATCTATACACACAAGCGCGTACTACAAAACAGGCAGTCAGAGTATAGCCAGGCATCTCCATCTGGGCTGGGAGATGGGAGGCAAGCTGCCTATTTGATCTCTCTCTGAACTGGCCCATGGGCTTCTTGGTGAGTAATTCAGAAGAATTTGTGAGTTTCACCACTGTACACTCTTTTGAGTTCAAAACTTGATGTTCCTTTACTGTATTAGTACAGAAAGGTTTGAGAACCTCTTTCACATAGCTGACAGTCACCAGCAGTATCAGTCATTTGGGTTTACATCACCTTCTAGGCTTGGTTCTATTATTTTTGTGGCTGTGTGTACTTTCTAATTGAGTCCATAGGCTTTCTATTTTCAGTTAACATTGGTTGTTAACTGCTGCAGGACTAAAAATCCATTCATTTGCCATAGTTGGTACTCTGGCTTTGCAATCTGCTACAATCAGGTTATTTCAATTTTTTGTTTATTGACTAAAGACGGAGTTTAGGCAGCTCGCTTAAACTAGACTCCTACTTTAAATATGCAGAAGTGAAATAAGATGAATCTTGGTGCATGCCAGTGCCATGCAGCATAGTAGGGTCACAACTATCTTAGCTGACTTCAGATAAACAAGTGACATATTCCGCCAAACTATGTAGCCTGGCCAAACCCAGCACTGATGTAGTTTCCAATACCCAAGCTGGGACTTAAGTACCAGCTCCATTGTGCTGCATAAGTAAACACATTATGTCACACAGTGTGAATTGTTCTGATACTCCTTTTTATCTTTACTTTCTTTTTAGTTAGAGGCTATTCCCTTCTCTAGCCTGGAGAAACACCTTTGCACTTATGACTCATCACTAGCAGTGGGGACTGCCGTGAACCTTGAAAAAGAATACAATTACTGGATTTCTGTACTGTTAAATAGACTTCTTTTTCTTAAAATTATAGCAGTGATGGGATTTATTTAAAATAGGTAATACAAGGAGATGAAGGCACACATTTCACTTTCCCTCACACTGATGAAATCTTAGTCCTCACTTCAGTAAGCCACTAGCAAAATGGAAATTGATACAATCTCTTATTATATATAGTGAGGCACAGATTAGTGGGACGTTACTTGCTAATAATTTGAAATATTGTATGCTGATGGAGATTAGCCAGATAGCAGGAAATTCTTGCTGCCGACTCTATGGGGATGGTGTAAATTTGGTGCCATTTCTTTCTATTCTGAAGGCTGTAGTTTTTCATCTGCTGTGCCTTTCAGACTGTAAGCTCTTTTGAGCAAAAACTCAGAAGTATTTTTCTATATTCAGGTCCAAGCTTTCTTGGTCTTCTAGCATTATGCAAAAGTTGACTAAATATGACAACACAAATTAGCTAGCTGATTTTGGCATGCAGACAAATAGCAAATATAGCATAATCCACAGAAAATTGGTCAAAATCGTGAACATTATTCATGGACTACGATTATGGGTGCTTTTGCAGATGAACTGTCCTGGGTTTAGCTTAGCAATTTTTCTCCTTCTTGGTAGCTGGTGGCGTGAGGTTGACATCAGTGATCTTTCCTGCACCTCTTCTATTTTCAGTCATTTACACTTCAGGTGACAACCTAAATTATTTCTGAAAGATATTGAACCATATATATGAGGAAAATTTGGAAAGTATATTTTTAGATCATCTCGGATGGGACACCTTACTAGCTGGAGAAGTGAATTTTATTTCTTAAAGGCCAGTATAGGCAAAGAAGCTAAAGTTGTCCAGCATTTTTCAGAATCCAACACAGGCTATGCTTGGGGACAAACTTACATCAGCACATCTGGTCTTTAGTCAGTATTAGCTAGTACTACTCCTTCTAATAACAAGAGTAATAGTAGTAATAGCATACTAGTCTATGGAATTTTAGTGTTTTCTGTCTGTTATTCTCAGTCCTTAAATATGAAATTATGAAAAGATGTCCAGTGAGGTCTTGCATGCAATCCTATATGAATGAAAAGTTTCTAAGAGTTTCAGGTTGCACACACCAATTAAAACTTAACATATGATGTTTTGAATCACATTTGAACTCATTAATATAGCGATAGTGTGCTTTACTGGCTTTCAACAGCTAACATGAAATAGTGACTCTGAAGCCAGATTAGTTGTTTGGCAAGATAACTTCATATTTTGTACCTGCAACCCAGTTTCTGCCTGGCAGTAGTAAATATATAATTGTGTCTTATCTGATAGAAATAGATTTCCGCTGTATTACAGCATTAAAACACGCAGGGTTGTTCTCTGGCACTGAGTCCATTTGGCATAGAGTTACCCACATCCATACTGTGATACTCTGCCACCCTCCAAAACAGCCCTTTGGAAGTGATTTCTGGCACATTTTAACTCTGAACCATGACTTTATTGGAGGTTTTCTAGATTTTCAAGCTGATACTGTGCTATGGACTCTTCTAAAAATGTAGCAGTAAAATAATCTAGTTCCCATGCGTCAGAATGTGACTTGATATTGTATCTACTGATGTAGACATAACTGTGGATTACCAGAATAAAAACAAATGAAAGAGGAAAAATAAAACTGTTTTTCAGCAGCAGTGGTATTTTGGGATTCGCTGATTGCGTTATCGTGGCTGAAGAGACACTGCTGTGACTCAAACACCATGGAAATGAGAGCAGTGTAATGGCAACAGCACACATTCCTCTGCCAGAAATACAAACAGTGTGAAAACTGACAAAATGAAACTAAAATTTGTGATTTTGTCAGTTAAACAAGACAGCTAACAAGCTAGCTAAAGATATATGTCTTTCCTCTTGATCACTTAGACTTTGCTTGGGCAGTATTTTTTTATTGTTATTTCTGGGTGGATCTCAGTGCCCATCAACTGACTTCAATTCTTGTCAATGAGTTTAGAGTTGACCATTAAAATAAAGGTGTTTCATTAATGCACTAGGTTCTTTAAACACGGTGCCCTTATAAAATCTGCATTAAGACTTTAAAAGTATTCACACCACATATATTTGGTCCTGTAAGAAGTGAAATTTTTTTGTCCTCATTAAAATGTTGAGGCTTCCATGGATGTTCTGGCACTTTCAGACTTTAGAGATTCCCATCTACCACATAGCACTAACAGTAAGGATGTAAGTGGAAGTTAGGATGGCTGACCAGTGGAGCTGGTTACCTGTGGAGTACCCAGTGCAGGCAATATGAAAGAGCATGATTTACAAAATAGATATAGCAAGTCTCTGCAGGGCTTTGCACAGCAGAAGGAGCCTCATAAAACCTCTTGTTCTGCACTGAAATAATGCATAGGACTATTTCCAGTAAATGCAGTCTGTGGTCTCAAGAAAAACAGATAATGGGCACAAAACTTTGCAAAATCATCCCCTCTTACTATACATTAACCTTCTGCAGGTTATATCAAAATTACATTACAGACTTGCAAGACAAATGTCTCTTTACAATGCTGACATTTGGACTCACCAAAGCTTTCACTTGTTGATGATAATGTAATACTCTTATATGGCAAACAAATCGAACCAGACCTGCATGGTAGCAGTGATGTCCTCAGCAAACTGTGCTCTCTAGACACTGCAGTCCTTGAGCGCAGCGAACAGTGTATGACAGGTACAGACCTCACTTTTCATCTTGTTTTCATTTGACATTTTCACATGCTGTTTGTACTGTTCATCTCAGTAGGGGCTTTTTTTTTTTTTTTGAAAAATTCAAGCATAAAGATCATTGTGTGCTTTTCCACAGTATATCTTCTTAAGTAACATCAGCAGGCTGCTGCATCAACACAGGTGCATTGACCGGCTGCATTCGTTGTGCAGTACAGCATGTGCCACAGGCTACTCCATTGCCAATAGTTCTGTGCTGGTTTTGCCCGTTCTATGCAGAAGACTCAATTATAGAGGGAAACAGATCATGTTTCATGAAGTTACAGTTTCAGAAACCAATTACACTGTCCTCATCTAAGATGTTTGAAAACCTTCTGTGAAGTACACAGGCAGCTGATTTGAGAGTATATATGAATAACTGCAGCTAGTTTCTAAGCTCATGGGTCTGATGAATTATAAAGAAGGTTACTCTCAGAGACAAAACAGCAGATTGGGATCTAAGTAGAGAGAGCGGATAGTCTCCATGTATGCATTTAATCCACCCACATCCCCAAAAAACCCAAAACAAATAACACTTGGTTTGTGTCTGGTTTTTGTTTTTTTTACAGCTTAATATGTTTCCTGTGAGTTTCTTTCTCTAAACCACTTCTTCCTTAGAAGAGCATGTACATTTTATTTCTGTGCTCTTTGCTTCTCACCCTGATGAAGCATTATGAAGTAATATGTTTTGCTAAGCTCTATGACACCTTGTGGTTTGCAGATTACCTTGTGATCATGAAGGTGTGAAATTATTTTAATCAAAATAGAAATACTCAGCTGTGTAAAGTTTTTCTTCTCCAATTCTGACCTCTTAGTTACTTCTGAGCTAGCTATACTGCATTGCTGCATGCTAACCCATTAAAAGCTCCCTTTGTTATTTAGGAAAATTATGACTTTATTTTGATATTGTGGTTTTATCATAAACTTTGGAGGGGAAAGTTAAATATATTTAAATAAGAAAAGACATCTTTCACATGTGACTAATATTAGCATTAAACCAAGAGATACAGATTGCCTTCGTGTTCATTACAGAAGGCAATGCCAACTGCAGGACAAGAAATGCTACTATGTTGTTCAAGAAACTAAACCTGTATCTCCATGTATGTGAAAGCATCCTACGTTTCCAGAAAAAAAAAAATCCTACTACTTTTCCATTTCTTCATTTTAAAACATGATTTATGTTTAATTCCCAATTTCATTTTCAGAAACTGAAATCTGTGGTTTTGGAAGAGACATAATGAAAGCAATTTCCTTCATCTCTTCAAATTTGTGTCCTCTGAAAATGTGCAAGACTTTGAAATGATCCCTACAGGGCTAAATTACTTAAAAGTAGAGTTCTGTGGGCACAGAATGTTAAGGCAATGGGAGCAGTTTTCCAGTGTAGGAATACTGGAATTGGGCATCAGCAAGTAAGTCCTAATGTGGGCATGCAAAACAAGCAGTTCTAGAAGAATCCTTTTTGCTGATATAACGGCTCTTGCACTAACAACTAGGGAATTATGCTGGAACAGCTGTCGGTCAGCAGAACTATTTTGGAAGAAATCTGTACTGTGTTACCTAGTTTGATATTTGAGGTGGAGTTGACCTTATAGTAGAATATGCCAAAAGATTTAAGAGAGTGGCAAAATTTGCTGTTACCACATAAGCAGATGGAAAAATGTGGCTGCATTCTCTAAGACTGCTTAGTAGGGAGTGCTCCGAAAATCCAAAATTTATTGATTAAAAAAAAAAACAACCCCAGAATTTAGAAAACTTGTATCTGATTGCTGGACATAGAAGCAATGTAGGAATGGTCATTATGTCAGTCCCATTCCCAAATATAAAGATATGTTTATTAAATTCGGAATCCCATTATTGGATGGCTATATTTAGAGCAGGTTGGCACTGAAGATCTAGTGCCACAAATTCATGTTGCATGACATTTTTCAGTAATTGCTTAATAGTAAGCATTTGGTTTTCTAGTTTGGTAGATAAGCCACCAAAATATTTTATAATATATCCAACTCTACAAATAGACTTGCCTTAGGACAGTACATACATTTATAGCAGATGTTTGACCTTGTTCTGTTTGACCTGGATTCTTACATTGTACCATTCTTTCAGCAAGCTATCAGAAAATGTTAAAGCAATGTGATACCTGGGAGTCTTGATACTGCGCATTGAGATGGGAGTTTGGATGCAGTTCCTTTAACAAGAATTTGATTCATTTGCAACTGGTAACACAAACCAATTAGTAGCAGTTAAAACTTAAAAACTTGTTTTCTTCGGTGAAGGCATGTGTCCAGATTGCTAGCAATTAGAATATTTGTATAATGCACCATTAGCAACTGTTTGAGGACAGCGTCCCCAGATCCCAGAATCCTGACAACTTATGGCTTTCTTATCTCAGTTTTTTATCTCTGTTTTCATTCTTCCTTTTAAACCTTTACTTTAAAGAAAAAAAAAAAAAAAAAACCACCAAGAGAGAGAAGAATATTGAGGGACCTTGGATGGGATTGTGATCCAGTTCTTTGCCACAGAACTGCTGAATAGGTATCTTGTATTGCAACCTCTATTTAGAGTAATTCAGAATCAGCTATGGACTGGGGAATATTTGAAGTTATTTTCTTGGTAGAGGCCAATTTTATCAATGACATGACTGTAACAGGGTTTTTTTAATGTATTGTGTTACATACAGTACATAAAGTACTTCAACTGATGATAACCACTGTGGCTGCTAGGTCTTGCTCAGTCCTGCGGGGCTGAGCAATGTGGGGCCCTGCATTGTGGCACAGCTTCCAGGGCACAGCCCAATTCCCACCAGGGCACACATCACCAGCAAAGTGCTCCATTATCATCTTTTTTGGTGCAGTGTGTCAACCACCCCTGCGATGGCCATGTCACAATGGGACATCAGGCCTCTGTGTCAGAGGGGGCCTCCCAGTTTCTGGAGGAGCTTAGAGGGAAGTGGCAGAGGTGCATACCCTCCTGTTTGGGGAGAAAAACAAGAACGGACTGCTTGAAAGCTTGCTGGGTCCTAAGCAGTTGTTATTTGTTCTACAAAGGGTACTTCTAAAGGGAGTACTTACAAAAGGAATGTTTATAAATGGGAGTGAAAGTAGGTTAAACAGATGTTGCAAATCAGTTGCATTTCTTTGAATATGTATCCTGCGGTTTGCCTGTATTTTTGTAAATATCTCCGAGTCGACCAAATGTTGTTTTGACTTTCTTTGCATCCTCAACACCTTTTTTATTCAGCTGTTTTTATGTAAGTCAGCAGTAGCTTAGCTAAAATGTAATGAACATTAACTTTTTTTTCATCCAACTTCTCAAAAGTAGTCATGAATTATTACTTAATCAAGACACAACCATTTACTTTTCTGCCATATCTTACACTGATAAGAATGCAGAAGGAAGTTATTTTGTCTGCTTTTGTCTTTATAGATAGGAAATTCTACAGTCACCAAGTCTTTTAAAGATGTATTTAGCAATTGCTTCAGCATGTTTTATTGGGTTTTACCAATTACATGATAATTGTATATTAGTTTTATTATTGATACTATCATAATTTATTTTAGAGCTGTTTGCTTTATAGCCAGTTTAGAGTAAACTGTAAACAAAAGTAGTTCTGTCTGCAACTGGAATATGCTGTAACATGGTGTAGTGCTAGTACAAATGCAAAGGGTAATTTTAGAGGAAATGCTTGAGGCATTGCAGGCTAACCAGGCATCCACTTCAAGCTGGAGTGGCTCAGTAGGTCTCTGTGATCACTGCCTGCCTATGAGCCTGCCGTGGCACATGAGGAAGGTGTCTGCTGTGGCAGCTCACCCTCTTCATAACCAGCAAAGAGTCACAGATATGTTGGATGGTGACAACCAGAGAAACGTGAACTTATGTAGAATGACCACCTAAATACACATTTTGGAGTATGACCTGAATAAGACATCTAAAAGATGTTAAAGCCTATACAAGTTGTCATGGACATCATTTATGGCCAGTGCTGAGAAAAAGAGAATATATTGTTCTAAAATAAGTGCCTATGCTGTCATATGAAACATGTGTTATTAGGAGTAATAGATTACAGGTATCTAGTAATGAAAAATTGTGCATACTGTACAAATAGCTGTCAAAACTGTTTCCCTGTAGATCAAGTGATGATGGGTTCCATCCCCAAGCACTGAAGTTCTGATTAGTTTTCATTCCTTAGCAAAGCATGAGAGTAATAGTGTTGGCTGTTTACAATCTCTTGTTATTGTCCAGGATCTAACATTTCTTTCCAAATATCAACTCAATGAAATATACTCTGGGGTGTGACTCTATACACATTCTTCATGAAGCCTTTCCGTTGGCTTCAAGATGCCATTCTGTCTGCAAAGTTTGGAAGATCAAACCCTAAGTATAGTTTACCAATATTTTAGGGGATTTAAGGATTTCTGAAAGCAAGCTAAAAGAAATACCACATTTACTATCATTACTGCCTAAAGGCACAGGAAGTGAACAACAGCCATATGCAAGGCTTGATACCACTTTTGCACTGTCATGAACTATAGAACAAAAAGACTGTTACAGTAGCTAGTACCTCTTTTTAATGATGTCCATTGCTGTAGTGTCTTACCATTTTGTGGGGAAGGTTGCCAAATACTATAGACTTGAGTAATATAACGTACTGGATAAACGGAAAAGAAAGATAAATAGTGGTGAGGAAAATAGGGAAGTAAAATTTAATCAAAAATTATGTGTCAAGCTATGCGCAAATCATAGAATCATAGTCATAGAACCATAGAATGGTTTGGGTTGGAAGGGACCTTAAAGATCATCTAGTTCCAGCACCCCTGTCACGGGCAAGGTCACCTTCCACTAGACCAGGTTGCTCAAAGCCTTCTACAACCTGGCCTTGAATGCTGCCAGGGATGGGGTACCCACAACTTCTCTGGGAAACTTGTTCCAGTATCTCACCACCCTCACAGTGAAGATTTCCTTCTTAATAGCTAATCTAAATCTACCCTCTTTCAGCTTAAAGCCATTCCCCCTTGTCCTATCATCCTATTATCCTGTGAAAACAGAAAAAATAAACCCATGTTTGCTAACGGAGGCAGGTGTGCTTTAGAGAAAAACAGCATGGCTTAGTAGACGATTAGGATTTGCCTGTTACTTGCAGGGCTGACTGATAACCAGATGCTGGCCCATGGACAGCAGAAGCAGTGGTCTCAAGACTGAAACACAGGAGGCCATCTGAACAACAGGAAATACTTTTTCACTGTGAGGGTGTTTGAGCATTGGCACAGGCTGCCCAGTCCTCCACAGGCTGTGGAGTCCCCATCCTTGGAGATAGTCAGAACTGGCTGGACACTGTCCTGGGCAAATGGCTGTAGATGACCCTGCTGGAGCAGGGCCGTTGGACCCGATAACCTCCAAAGGTCCCTTCCAACTTCAACCCTTCTGTGGTTCAGTGCTAATTCCCTACGAGTACCTCCAGGCCGTTGGATGCAGGTGAGCTTTGCCGGCAAGGACCAGTGCCAGAGTTCACCATCCTGCTCTGCCCATTGTGCCACTGAGGCGCTCTCCACGCCTTGGCGAGGCAGCGGGACCGCCCCTTCTCCCGCCGCCTTCTCTCCTGCCTCCAGCCGCGCTGGGGACAACCGCCGGCCCAGCGGGCACCGAGAGGGGAGGAACAAAGTTTGCGGGCGTTGCCTGCGGGACGGCCCGCCGCCACCGGCCCGCGCCTCTTGGCGGTCCTCCCTCCGCCGTGGTCGGTATTTACAGCCGGCCCCGCCGGCGAGGCTCGCACGACGGGCACCGTCCACTGCACCTTCCCGCCCCGGTGACCTACGCTGCCGGCTGGTAGGCGGCCCCGTACTGGCTGCGGCGGCTCGACCCGCCGTGAGCAGCGGCGCCGGCGCCGGCAGCGGGGCAGAACCCGGCAGAGCGGAGCTCCGCGGCACTCAGCCCTTCCAGCGCTCCCCGCCACCCTCAGCCCTCGCGGCACGGAGCGCCCGCGGAGGGCTTCGCTCCCGTTCGCTTCGCTTCGCTCCGCTCCGCCGCTGCCCCAGCTCCGCGCCGCTCCGCTCCGCGCCGCCCGCCGCCAAGACGCCGCGCTTCTTGTACCGCGCCAAAGGCGGTTGCCGCGCGGCCAAGATGGGCCGGCAGACGGCGGCCGGCGGGCGCACCATGCAGCGGTCACAGAGCCGGAGCAGCCTCTCCGCCTCCTTCGAGGCGCTGGCGGTCTACTTCCCCTGCATGAACTCCCTGGAGGAGGACGGAGGTGAGGGACCAGGGCCGCGGCCGGGGCCAGGGGGAGGGCGGCGGGTGGGCGCGGCGGAGTCCCTCCCGGTCCCGGGGCTGTAGCCCCCTCCGAGGCGTCCGGCGTAGGGCGCCCGTCTCAGGCCTGGCGGGTGGGCAGCGGTGCTGAGCGCGGAGCTCGGTGCGGGAACGCGACCCCCGGAGAGTTACTCGTGTCAGGAGAGGGGCTGGAGACACGGTGCTTGTAACTGGAGAGCGCGGTGTGATTGAAAGGGGATTTTTATCGTCACATTATAAATTAATTGCTGAACTTTAAGTATGTTGAAGAAAAATGGGGTGAAGGGTCTGTCCATTTTCTGCTCATTGATAAGGATAAACATTTCCTCACGGGTGGTTTTCTGATGCTTCATTGGTTTGTACAAGTATCCCTGGTCCATTACTAGAATGAAATTTACAGAGAACGCTGGGTTTGAACAATGAAATACTGGCCCCGCTTAACTTTTCCTTAGGAACGGCAGTAGGCAGAAGGCTGTGTGTGCAAGTAGACCTTGCAGGTCTCACTCACAGTTAATCTCCACTCATAGAACTCCAACTCTGAGAAAGTCCTGGTTACTTTTTGAAACGTGTATAACAAATGTACAGTTAAGCATGGCACCAAACCTTGTCTCGGACAGAACTTGTGAATTTGTTTTGAAAACATTGGTTTCGTAAGGAAATAGTATAGTGTGTTTAAGTATGTTTAAATGTAGAATGAACTGACAGACTTTCTAGTGTTTATCAGAACTAATTCAGGATTTTTAACTTCATCAAGACTAATGGAGCATATTGCACTTTCAATAGATTTGAATATCAGGATATAAGACTTATAAGACTTATATTTGGCCAAATGCGCTAGATAAACATGTATGACCCATAATCTGTATTTAAAACATCTGCATATGCACATATCACCTATACCTCAGGCCGAGAGCTCAGTGTCAAATGTTTGTCTCCAGTCTTCACACATCTTGATTTTGCTTTTCATGGGCAGCACTCCCTGGAATCTCTTTTCTAAAGAATCGTGTGGTCTCTGCCATTCTTCTGGAGCCCTAGTCTGCGCTGCCCAGGTTGCCCCTTTCCACAGAAAAGAGGGAGCAGCTCCCTGGGGCACAGTGTGCTGTCCTTCAGTACTGTCATCTGCTCCCTGCCTTGAACAATGAAGTGAACTGCAAAATATTGCCAGTAGACTGCAGGGTAGGCTTCAGAGGGCATTCTTAATCTTTTTACGTGCTAATAAACACTATGGCTGAAAACACACATTTTTTAAACACTGAAAATATAATAGATTATGATAAACATGCTTAGGTATTCTTTAAAGATTTTTTTTCTCTGTCATTCCAGAATAGTTGTCTTTTTAGTCCTGATTATTAGTTACAATAATTCCATTAATCCTTTGTAAAATTGGAGTATTGATCTTTTTTGTTCTGGTCTGTGTTCTTTACTTCTCTAGGAAACAGCTTATTCCCCAGTTGAGTCTGTGTGTGTTTAGAAGTATGATGCATATGGAACTCAGTAGAGGAATATCTGTAAATTTAAGGGAAATTGTAACTATTTATTTAGTTTGTGCTGGCGAGTTATTTAAACAGAGGTGTTAAAAGAATGTATACTGATTTTTTCACATGTGCCAATTTATGTTATCTGGTCCTATTTAGACTTAGGCTACACTTGAAAATGCATTTCATGTGATTTAAATGAAAATATGTGGAGGTAATTGCTATGTAATTTTTACAGAGCTGAATTTCTGCTACCTGAAATTCAGACATACCAGGTTACTGAGCGAGTGACAGGCATGACAGCTAAACTGTGGTTCCCAAGTGCTGTCCCTGAGGCTAGGAAGACAAAAAATGTGATCAGTTTTTTTGATGGTAAGTCACCTCTGTACTCAATTGGAATTAGTTGTCTTCTGCGTGCGTCTGTGTGATTATATGTATGTACCACCAGTGTCCTTAAGTGGGTGTGTGATACATGCACTCACATGTTAAGGTGTTTAAGGCTCTTTTTCAGGTTAACCTGAGAAAGATGTTAAACCCACTTCGTAAGTTCTTCATCCTCAAGATGTAGTTAGTTCTGCGTATGATGGATATGTTTAAAAAAAAAGAAGATAACCTGATATAGGGCTGCTTTTACGTTTTTACATACATTATATTTCCCCTTCAATCACTTTAAAAATACCAATAGAAAATTTGACCTGTTGAGGCATTTATTTGTGATATTTGCTTGAACACCTTTGCTCATTAACTACTGAATACACTGGTCCACAGGCACATCTTTGGGTATGAAGGAATGAGTACTGTCAAGTTCAGAAGTAACTGAATAGTAAATAAATCAATAAAATCTATTAATAAGAATTAATTTTAGAAGCAATTTTTGAACATGATGATTGAGAAGATCCATTTGTTTCAGTTGATTAAAGAAGGGGACTTCTTAATGTCTGGCACCCAAGCTATAAGGTACTGAAAAAGCGGGTTGTAGAATGTCTGCAGTTTTCCAATTGGTAGAACTTGCCCTGGGTAGTCCTGAGCTTGCCATGCTTGGCCAGGTTTGCAGCACAGGGAGATGCTATTCTCTCTAACATGTCCTACTTGTAGATCAATTAGACAAGTCTATCAAGTTTATTCATATTTGTTATTTCTAAAGGACTTTATTATTCTTAGTTGTGTCTAGTAAAACGTATTGAAAAATCAGGTTTTTCCTCGTCAACTTATTTCTTGCATGTGTGCACATGCACATGCAGAACTAATATGTCATATGGTACCAGAGTAAATTACACGTGTTATCAAAATATCAGGGTTATTTAAGGGTGTCTTTTTTGTATTTTGTTAGATGCATTGATGATGTACAGTCTGCATAGTAAAGTGAGAACTGGCATCAAATAATTCTTGGAACAGATTAAAATTATTTAGAAATTATTGCAGAGATGTGGGGATCAGTACCTAGCTAAATGCCCTGGAAGCATCCCAAGCCTCACATTTTGTCTGAAATCCTGTCTTTGTAGAAATTAAAGGAAATTGTGTCATTAAATTCAAAAGACCAGGGAATTTCCAATGTAAATGCGTGTGAAATACTTTTAGATGTCTGTGTAGAGTCATAGAACAAAATTTCATGCACATAATACATTTAAAAGTGGATATGCGTTTACTAAATTTTCTTGTGGACAACTGGAAAACACAGTAGAGCAAATGAATCCTTACGTACATGAAGGTTACTGGGGAAGAGCTACATGTACTGAGGAAACAAGAGGCTCAGATCTCATGTGGTCACTAGGAAGTCTGCGTCTGTTTTTATGAGTGGGACTGTTAACTTGGTGCTTCCTCAACTTGTACTGGGTGTATTGTTTGCTGTAATAAATTTGCCTTACAGTTTCCTTTTCATACTCTGCTTACATTCACTTCTGATTTGCATTTACTGAGGTGTTGATATAAACTTTTAAACAGCAGGTTGCCAGGAGCGCAGCTATGGAACTGCAAGTCATGGCAAGATCTGCACGCAGAACTGTACTCCCAGAAAGGGAGTATATTTCAATTTAATATCGTCTTTTGCCAAAGTTTTTGGGTGGTAGTGAAGCTATGAGATCCAAGGGGAAAGCCAAATGCTTTGCAGGTGCTGAAGACAATTCAAGAGATATTTTATGATAATTTAAGGCATAAGTCAATTCAGAACAAACTGGAAAGCATTTTGGTCTCCCAGTATGTTAGAAAAACAAAAGGCAATAGAAAAAAAAAAGCCACAGAATGTTCTTCAGTCCAAGACAATCATGCCAAATAGCAAGAATTTGTTGTGTTAGCAGAGGAGAAGATACTAATACATCTTCAGTTTTGCATATTGATGTGTACTGAGAGAAATCCGAGTGTTGCTGCAGGAGTTCAGCGAGAATAGGAACACCCTATACACTCCTCTCACTTGGCTAGTAGCTATCTGAGCAACTTGCTCAGGGGGTCATTTGATCCCTCATAGATATCAGCAGGAGTGTTGCCATTGATGCTAGTGAGTGAAGGATCAGGACTTTATGTGTGCTGAAATGTGCAGTTGAGCACTGTTGTTGGCTGTTATTGCCACTGAGTAGCATTTCTTACCAATTAATCATTGCTCATTGGTAGAACTGGAATATAGCTCTGCAGTTTCTGGATTCTGTTCCTGTGGTTAGGCTGCCAGATCTCATTGTCCCTCTGGAGGCCCCAGTAGACAATAACAAGCAGACAACAATTTAACCAAAAATAGAAATTGGGGGAAGTAGTAACAATAAATTCATTAACATGGTAATTATTAAAGTGAAGAGAATCCTGCGCAGGAAGTAGTTACATTTTTAAATTATCCTCTTAAAAAGAATAAAGTAAAAGTATCAGGCAGTGAAGAAAATGAGAATAACTACATCTTCTTGTGGGAATTGCCCTACTTTTTTGGCCTTGTGGTAAAGATGACCTTGTTTACATGGGATATTCATAGGCAGAGCCAAGATGGAATATGAAAGAAGGGTATACTGCCCTGTGGCAGGGTAACTGCTGTAAAAGATGAAGCTTTAAAGACCTCAGTTTGATTGATGCTAACATGCCAGAGGTTGTTGCATATCTCCTGCAACAGTGGGATGTCTCATTGCAGAGGATAAAAATCACTCTGAATATGGAATAATAATCATTCAGTACAGAATCTGTACAACATTTAAGTTTATGGTCTATATTTCGTTTGTGGCTAGGGCACTGCTTGGGGGGTGAGCCTGCCTTTCCGGCAATGTGGTGAGGCTGGGTC